AAGAGCCCTGTGCGCTGCCTGCAACCAGGACAGATAAAGGATCTTGCCTGCGTCTTGCCAGGGTATAACCCCTGGGGACATTGGGCCCAGCTCAGCGCTGACCCTGGCCCACGGGTCCCAGAGTCAATGTTCTTTGAACTTTACGTGTGATGTGGGTGGGGTGAGGGATGCTTTCGAAACTAGAGGGGCCCTTAGAGACCTTTGAATCTTTGTAAGTTTCAAACTACTTGGTGGAAGTTCAGAGGTAAAGCCTGCCCCATCTTTCTTCACCCACAGAGTTTCACTTTTATCTGGTGGATGTGGGATAAGCATAAGGTTTTGGCTTTTACCAACTAAGCGTTCTACTGCTTTTAAAGAAAAACGTAAAAACCACTGATCTAGTCCAGACAACTGTTTCTTATACATAGAGAGACTCAGACCCAGAGAAAGCAAACCGCTTACTTTGGGTCACATAGCAAGAGAGAACCGGCTCATCTCAATACTTCCAGTGGAGAATTACACAAGTGTGAGATCTTCAGTTGGAAAGTTATATTGTTGAGCTAGCTGAGGTGGGACCCTCCATTCCAGTAGTTTTTAAACAGCACCTGGGACTTTATCCAGTGCTTGTCATGTGCCATGTGATTCATGCACCTGCCTCATTGAGTCCCCATAACAACCATATCCACCAGGTATGGTTATCTATACTCTTACAGATAAGGAAACTGAAGCTTGGAGAAGCCTAGTCACTTGTCCAAAGGCACAAGACCAGACAGTGGTAGACCTGGCATTGGAACCTAGGACCACAGGCACTTCTGAGACTGTCCTTGAGCCTTGACCTTTTGGGGAATCCCAGCACAGACCAAGGGTCTAACAGAGGAGTCATCAGAGGGAAAGGCGATTAGAAACAGAAGGGGGTTGATACCTGATAGTCCACGTCCTTTTTCCTGGTATTTCCTGGGGGTACTTTGTTGCTGCTTTTTTCGTCGTTTTAGTCAAGAAAGAGCCTGATTTGGTTCTCTGCCAGTCTGTCCCCATTCTGTGCATGGATTTGGAGTGTGTGCAGGGGCAGAAAATTAATCTTCTTAGGTTAAGACTGAATTAGGGGACTCAATCTGCTACAGAAAGGATTCTGGGAGATATCCCTGCCCGCTCAACCAACAGGAGTGAGCCCTCCGGGCAGCCTGGTGTCATACAGAGAACATAACGTTCACCTGAAAAGCCCACACCTGCCTGACACTAACCAGGTGCCCTCGGCCAGTGCTCCTCTCTGAGCCAAACTGTGTCATATATTAAGCACCTACTGTTGTGCCAGAATGATTCAGGGTGCTAGGGACACAGATATAAACCACGAAGGTTCATCATTAATGAATACTGAGCATATGCTATGCACTGTTCTGAGCTCTCTAAGTGGATTAATTTATTTAATCCTGGGAACAAACCTATGAGAAAGGTACTATTGTGTCCATTTTGCAATGAGAGAGATGAAGGAATTTTATTATTTAGATCCCGCAGCCAGTTAAGTGGCAGAGATAGGAATGGAACGTAGGCCTTAAGCACTGAGTTCGTATGTGGGGACATAAACCACACGTACAATTTTTTTTTTGGCCACACCGTGCGGCATGTGGGATCTTAGTTCCCCGACCAGGGATCAAACCCGTGCCCCCTGCAGTGGAAGCATGGGGTCTTAACCACTGGACCGCCAGGGAAGTCCCAAACCACATATATAATTATCTATAACGTAGGAGTGTGGACACATTCGCATGTGGTAACTGTGTATGGTAGCATATACCTGCATGTGTATAGAATGTATATGCCAGTCTATGGAAATGTAGGTCTGCACAGGGATGCATGCACACGGGGTCAGCTAGAGAGCTCGCTGTGCTAAGGACCATATGGGGTAAGTAGGTTTAAGGGGGATTTCCACAACCTGCAGTTCCTCCTTTTCCTGGCTCAGGGCTTAGCTGGGAGTTGGCCTGGTGTTGAGAAAGAGCCTGGCTTTGGACTCAAGCAGATGTGGGCTGGAATGGTGCCTTTGTCACTCTGGTTCTATGGTTTTTTTCGGTGACTTACAGTGACCCCCTTCTCATTAATGAGGCTGTGAGAATCAAATTCAGTAAGGCATCAGCAGAGCACACCCAGGGGCGTGATGGCGAGGACGTCTAGTGGTAGGAGAACCGACCAGGCGGAAGTGGCCAGTGTACCCCGAGGTCGCGACGGGCAGCCAGCTCTCACCTCGCCGCTCCCCTCTCTCCTCTGCAGCTCTGATCGTGGGCGGTGGCGTGGGCATCCTCTTTGCCATTTTCCTGGTCCTGCTGCTGGTGTACCGCGTGAAAAAGAAGGACGAGGGCAGCTACGACCTGGGCAAGAAACCTATCTACAAAAAAGCCCCCGCCAACGAGTTCTACGCCTGAAGCTTCCTCCCGAGCACCTGCTTGGACTTCACGGGCGAGGGCCGCTGAAGGATTTTGAAGGGTGGACATTAGGGGAGGGGGAGGGCAACCCAGTCCTGATCTATCAGCATCTCCAGCTCCGATTAGGCTTTCAGTGTCAGAAGAGACATCGTCTTCTACTGTTCCTGCCTGCCTCTTCTTGATTCTCTGGGCCTCCATTGTCCCAGCAGAAAAACAGGGTTAAACTTGGCCTTTCTCAAGGCCAAGTCTGGGATTGGATCGTTTCTTCATCTTCCGGTTTAGAATCGAGGCCCAGCTGAGAGCCTGTACTGAACAGGCCTCATCCAGAGCCTTTCTAAGCTATTGTGTGAATCCTGCTGGAGGGGGGCCCCCACCCCCAGCCTTCTTCCCTCCCTCCCTTCCTTCCACAGCCCGGCCCCTCTGCCAGGAGCTGGGAGAAGGAACCAGAACCATCTATCTGCACCTGGAGATGTGTCCCTCAAAGGGCACCTGCAACCACACTATGAGAGTCTGTGGTACACCTTGGGCCATTCTAGGCTCTTCCAAGTGACTTTTGGAAATCAACCTTTGTTATTTGGGGAGGGTGGTGAGAAGAGCTGAAAGTTCATTGTGAAATGGACTTGTAGAATATTCATAAGTCTATTTTTAGTGGGGTTTTTTTTAATGGTTCATTCCTTTGTACAGAGCCTCTCTACCTGGGCAAGAATACACAGAAGCCAAGGCATTCTCCTCTTGCACCTTTCCACAGTACTTGCTAAGTTTGTATTTAATGTTTTTTGTTTTTGTTACTCGAAAAAGAGAGCAGAGTTGGAGATATAATTTTTATTAATTTTTTTTTTACTATTTATAGCTTCAGACAGGGCCTCTCCTTTCCTCTTGCCTCTTTTTCTTTAAATCCCCTCCCCGTGTTTTTTGTTTTTTTAATTCTTCATACTTCCCTGCTTATGACCTTGGCCCTTTCTAAGGCTGCTTCCTCTAAGAAGCTTTTGCTGAAATATAGTTTTCTAGCAGATCCCAGAACATAACCTAGGGGATGGTGGGATATTTGTGTCTCTTTTTCATGTAATATATTATTATTCTTCCTTGGTTCTAGCAAAATAGATAAATATATTTTTTCAGGAAATAGTGTGATATGATATTCCCATGTAAAGCTGGCTGGGTGGTTGAGTGAGTGAATTTTTGTGTGGCTGAGTGGATTTTTGCCTCTTTCTCTAGTCCTGTTCCTTGGTGCCTTCTCCTGATTGGGCTGGAAACCTTCTCTCTAGCTTTTGCTTTGAGCCTAGCTGGGGTTCCTTCATTTGCTGTCTCCTAATTTAAGAGAAAATTGGAGAGCAGTGCTATCCAATATGGCAGCCACTAGCCACACTGAGATCAATTAAAACTACACAAAGTTAAACGTTCGTTCCTCAGTCATAGTAACCACATTTCAAGTGCTCAGCAGCCACATGTGGCTGGTGGTTGGTGTACCCAACATGTAGGCAGAGCCCACTGGCAACTGTTGGACAGCACAGCTCGAGAACTAAGCTGGTTTAACAAGTCACAGCCCCGGTTTTGCTGAGATGACCTTTGTCTCCCTAGACAAAGGGGGATGGGGGAGGGCTGATCAGGCCCTGCCCTGTTATCTGTGACCCGTCCTCTCCAGAGAGGAGAGGCCTGGAGAGGCCTAGTGGCTTAGCCAGGGCAGGCGACATCTCCTGACCCCATTGGCTGGGGTTGGGGGGGGATTATCCTTGCTTCCCTCACCTTTCATCACCATAACCCCAGGGTCCCAGCTGGCTGGGTCCTCTTCCTCCCCTGGTGTCCTTTTCCTCTGGCCATGTTGGGAGTAAGCACCTCACACTGTTGTCTGTTACTGATTTTTTGATAAAAAGATAATAAAACCTGGTACTTTCTAGATCGCCTGCCTCTATCATTTTTTTTTTTTTTTTTTTTTTT